GTGGAGCGGCTGGTGGATTCAAACCACTGAACTTCTGAGTTAGTAGCAAAATGCTTTAACCACTGCATCACCAGAATCCAGGCTGTGTAAATTCCTTTGTCTTATCACATCATCCTATTTACAATAAACCCTAACTTTCTTTTGAGATCTTGCTGGCTACTTAATACTACTAATAAAAAGTTTTGAATTTTACAAATAAATGATTATTTTCACTTCCACTGAGAAGATAAACTAAGAAACAGATAAATGAACTATCACATAGTTCATTTTTATATAGTTTTTTTTAAATTATAACTATCTAAGTAGCTAAAAATAAACATATGCATTATTATGACTGTTAGTGAATCAAGGAGTAGGAAGAAAGTATCAAGGACAGTGGGTTTATTTTTGGAACAAAGGAGTAAAGCTGTTTGACTGGCAGCCACACCTCTGTTAGAATGTGCTGGCTTTTTTCTTTGCCTGCATCTGTCACAGATTACTGTGTATCACACATACTCCCATTGAACATCCTTGGAGGTCATATGAGATAGGGCAAACTTTTATGATTGATAAGATTTGAGACAGTTGGGTTAAGTTAGTGGTCTTTATTGAACTATGTAAGTTTTAGTAAAATACAGTTTATTATTTTCAAATGCAATGCATATTTTAAAGCAGATACAAGTGCAAAGAAATACAATTATATTTATTTAAAATATTTATTAAAATTTAAATTTACATATATTTTAACCTGCCAGGTCCATATCTAGTAATTTCTTTTACATATGTACTGACAGAAGTACGCATAATATAGGAAAGAATGTCTCTTGCAACATTGTTTATGATACAAAAAAAAGGTGGTATAAATAATCTAAAAGCCCATTAGTACAGGACTGTTTTGAGTGAATTGTGGTTCACATCTATAAATAGAATAATATGCCATCATTGAAAGAATGAGGTATTTCCCTAGAAAGATGCCCAAGTTTCTTTAAAGAAAAAAATCAAGTAACAGAACAGTGCAAATAGTGTTAACCATTTGTGCACTGAAAATTATACGTGTATTTATGTGTATACACATTTACTTGAATACACACAGACCATTCCTGACAGGGTACACAAACTGTTACAAATGCTTACCTTTTAGGAGGCAACTTCAGCTTGAAGAGTGTGAAGAGGGAGGTGTTTTCATTTTTCATCATATACCTTCTGAATTCTTAGAATTTTCATTACAAGCATGTATTGTTTTTTGATGATAAACAGTAAAAAGAAATGAATTACAAAGTGGATGGGAAATGTATTCAATTTATTTTCATAATTTTATAATACATTTTTATAAATTAAGGAAACCCTTTAATGTGAAAACCTCCATCCAGGACTAAAAAATATTTGCAGGCATATTAAAGAAAAAAAAAACACATGACTTTGGTTCTAGTTTAAATAATTATTAATATATGGTTAATAATCCCTGAAAAATATCATAATACAGAATTAATTTCCACTGTTATTTAGAGGAATTATACATACCAACAGTTGAGAGCCTCGAATGTTGAATTGTGTTAGTCCAAAGTGAGAAGATTGTTTTTTCCCGGTGTTTATGGTGCTCCTGAAGTGTCATAGAAACATTGGATAATGATTCAGCCATATTGAGCTCCTCGCTTCATTTGCAGTGTTAGGCTTTTGCACAGATTGGGTCCTGACCATATGGCGTTTTTGGATTGACTCTTATTTTTCAGAATCAGAAATTAGTGAAAGATTGCTTTCTGTTTTCTAATCATCTATTTACTTCTCCTTCAATATAATGGAGGATTGTCTTCAAAAATCAATTCTTTGTCCTTTTTATGATTTAATGCTATATGTCTGCAGAATTAATATCTTAAGGAAAATTTTAGTAATTTTATTTGTAAAACATCTCTTATCTGAGAATGGTCCGAACTATACCACTTTTGCTCACTGACATGTTACTTCCTCCTCATGTAATAACTTAACAGCATCTGTTGTTCTCTCCACTGAAACTATAATTCTTGTGACTGTCCTTTCTTTGTTTCTACTATCTTTATGTCTCTGTTCACTGTGAGTTTTAGACCTCTGATGAAGAAGTTTCAACTGGGTTATTTAGTCACTCTCTGATATAGGGAAATACTTTTAGGCAGAGTGTTCTCTCTGTCCAGACCACCTCATTGGGTATTGGCTTTTAGTTTCTGGCCAATAAAATAGTTAGGGTATTGATTCCTGGTCAGTCAGATGTGTACAGGAAATCAAGGTCATTTGAAACATGATATAGCAACCTCTCATGCACTGATCTTCTGGTGAGTTTCCAAGTCCAAGAGACCCAAGAGATATTTTAACCTTCTGTTAAATTTAACACCAGCCCAATTGCACAAACACACAAAAAACAGAACAAATAAATGAGCCTAGAAGAAAGCTTAGATTTGCATTGCATAATCAACAGCTTCTAGGGGTAAAGACACAAACTTTGTATTCACACAAAGTTTGAGTCCCTGCTTGGCAACTTCCCAGGTGGATGACGTTGGTCCCTGGAGATTTATGTCCATTTAGGGATAATATTTCTTTGTAGGATTGATGTCAGGACTTAATGTGACTGTGTGTGTATATTCAATAGAACAATTACTGACACAAAATAATTATAATAATGTTGTTGTTGTTATGTGCCATCAAGTTGGACCCGACTCATAGCGACCCCTCCTTGGGTTTCCAAGGTGGTATCATTACGGATATAGATTGCTCAACCTTCCTTCCGAGGAGTGGCTGGTGGGTTTGAACTGCCAGCCTTCTGATTAGCTGTCAAGTACCTTAGGCATCATGCCACCATAGTAATAGCAAACATTTATTACTTAAGTGCCAAGCTTTTTTCTAATGCTTTCTACATATTAGCTCATTTAATCTTTGACAACTCTATGAGATTATTATCCTCATTTGAGAGAGAAAACTGAGACACAGGGAGGTTCAATAACTTGCTTGAGACCACATAGCTAATATGTGGAATAATCAATATGTGCTATTAACATCTATACTACATGGACCATCCACATGAAGTCAATGCTTCATTTCCTAGTGCCAGACTTTGTTTCTGTTCCCAACTCCCTTTGACCTTCTGGATTCCATCCCACATCAGACCCAGATAAGAAGTAGCATCCTAACTTGTCTTCTATCAAATCTAACCATAATGATCAATTTATGATGCTCAGTAACACTCTTGAGAACTTAGAGGGTCACAGTGTCAAGAATTGCATTGTGTACCATTTTACCTGCTCCCCACCCCGTCTCCAAAGCTGAAATTCTTCAGATCTTTCTCATTATGTCATGTGGAGCAGCGGCTTGAGTACTGGTTGTCTTCTGGGAATTCCAGTGAAGAAAATGTCTTCAGCCTTGGTACATCAGGATATCTTCCTATTCTCACCCTGCTACTTGGTCAAGCACTGAGTATTTTAAGTAAGGTTAGTCCCCTAAGCCAGAGTGTGAAGTAGGTGACATTCGCCCCTAAACTCCTTCTTTCAGTCCTTCCCATTTGTTCATATCTCAGTGAGTTAGTTTAATTAGCAGCTTTTGGCTACTGAAGAATTAGGAGAAAATTAGCAGGGGGTTGGAAAAAGGTCATTAAGAACAGTGTTCCTTGAACTTTAATGTGCATCGGAATCACGTTGGGATCCTGTTAAAGCGCAGTTTCTGATTCTTTTGGTTCTGGGTTGAGGCCTGAGATTCTCAGTGTCTACAAGCTCCTGGTGATGTCAGTGCTCTTGTTCTACAGACCATACTGTGAATAGCAAGTATTTGAATACTGAAGAAGACAAAGATGTTTTATAGGCACACTTAATCCAAAGAAATGACTCTCTGTTAATGGAATTTAGTTAATGTGACTGGCTGCTAGAAGAAATCGAACAATTTCGAACCTTGCTGTAGACTCTGCTTACCAGTGAGGCTGTTCCTGATCTGAGAGAAGAACGAAATAAACACATCTTTCTGGCAGTCGAGTTTTGATACAAGCATGTAAAACAGGCATTTTCCGCCATCGGTTTAACGTAGGTGATTTTCCAATGACTTCTGTTCATTTTTACAGAGCTTTCTTTTTTTTTTTTTTCTTTATTTTTATGTTATTTTGATTTGGGTGAAGATTTACAGAGCAAAGTCACTTTCCATACAGCAGTTCACATATACTTTGTCACATGTCCTTGACCACAGTTTACCACAATGCAACTTCCCCTCCCACTTCCTCCCCATAGTTACCTCTTCCCAGTGTCCATCCCTCCATACTCTCCTGCCCCCTGACCTGTCTCCTTGTGCATAAGCAGCCCTTCCTTCTCCCATGATTGTTCTCTCCAGGGCGTGTGTCTACTTGAGGTAAATGTTTAACTCACATGCCTGTACTTTGTTTGGCTGGAAACCACAGGTGTGGGTTCAATTCCAGACCTGAAGGGCAGCTAGGGGCCATAGTCTCAGTGGTTCCACCAGGCTGTATTGGACCAGCAAACCTGGTCCCCACCTTCTCTTTTTTTGCCTCCAAATGATTTTGAGTTTTGTTCCACATTGTTCTCCCTCTCTATGCAGGATCTCCTACATCCCTTCCAAGTGGATGACGGTGGTAGCCAGGCACCAACTAGTTCTTCTGGTCTCATAGTTGTACAGGTTGCAGATCGGATTTACAGAGCTTTCTGAGACAGAACATTGCCTTGCTGCTACTCAAGTTTGAGTCACTCATGACTAGGGAAATAGATGACTGGACTTACTCTGCTGAAGTAATACCTGGGTATTTCAATATCTGTTTCTTTGCTCCTGTACCATCACCAACAAAAGGAAGTTTAAGTCAGTTTTTTGTTTCCCTGTCTTTAGACTTGGAGTCAGCTCACTAGGAGTGTTTATGAATAATTCTGTTTGAACTGGCTTGGTAATGCTAAAGTGAATAATGAAATACGGAACAGAGCTTTACATATAGAAGGGCAGGATAGGCAGAAACCTGTGAAATGACGTGGTTGGTTCTCCTTGTGATGTTCTCTTATTTCCATGTCTAGGGAGGGGAGCACTGTTACTACCAGGGCCACATCCGAGGAAATCCTGCCTCATTTGTTGCATTGTCAACATGCCATGGACTTCAGTAAGTGTTCTAAAATGATTTGCTCAATGCATTCTTTAAGTACCTATTATGTTCTTTATTTTCAATGCACTGGAATTGAAATCCATGTTTTATGTCAGAAAACAATTCAAAGCACTGATGGTTCTGATTTTTTTTTAAGTGACTTACAAAGCCAAGCAGAATTTTAAATTAAAATTGCAGAAATTAGAAACTATGCAATTATAATATGATACTTTGTAGTGATATTTGAAGATTATTCCTCCCCTCTCCCCAAGTTTGATCCGAGTTCCGATGTGTGACTGGGAACACTTTGGTCTCTGTGTTGGTGGGTGTTTGTGTAGTTCTTTGTGACTAGTTCTATCCTTACTCCTCCTAGGTGTCAGTTTGTAGATTTTCTTGGAATAAAAGAAATTTTAATTGGTGGAAATTCTTTAGATTCCTTGCCTAAAGAGAAAATGCTGCAAGTGACCTCTAGAGCTCATGTGTTTCAGCTCTCTATTGAGCCAAAATCACCTCACCTGTGGCAGACTCCTAGAGGATCCGTTCTGTTCTCAGAAGTCTTCAAGGAGTGGAGTTCTTCATCCCTCCTTGGGGCCTTGCTTCCTTTCTCATGAACTTCATGATCAGAGAATGCTTGCTGCTGTTTAACATGGGATTCATCTGCTTCCTGTGCCCTTTCAAGAATGGTGATAAGCAGGTGGTTATCTCTTATTTGTTTTGTAACCCCTTAAAAGCTACTGTGTCATTTCTTGGCATCCTATTGAGACTAAATCATCTGTGTTCCTTCTTGTTTATCTTATGGAACAAGCCAGCATTTTAATGAGTTTTGTAAAATTTTTGCTTGTTAACTTTGATAAATTTTCTGCTACCAAGTTAGAAATGTGGCTTTTTCATCTAACAAGCAGTTATGGAGTGTCTGCTGTGTGCCAGCCACTAGGAATATTTAGGTGATTCAAACATGAGCCCTACTCTTAAACTCACAGTCTAGTGGGGAGACCAATTTTAGCTCAAGGAATGTAATTAGTATATTTATTTTCTTTGAGAAAGACTTTTTAAAAAACTGGGGGGGAAATGCAGGCTGAGCATGGGCACTGAAGAAAGGTAGAACTTGAAGGCTTCAGAGAAATGCCACCTGCAGTAGGTGGCGCAGGCTGCTGAACTGGCTTTGGTACATCTTTCTAGGAATGGTAGTTAGCCTGACAGACCTCAGATCGAGGAAAGAGATCTAATGGGGAAGCCTGGAAAGCAGCTGGTTTGCCTAAGTTACGCCTTCTGGTCAGGCTGTGGCAGTAGGTAAGTTAAAGCAGCAGAAAGCCAGGAGTGAAAGGAACAGTTAAATAGAGAAAGGGGCGTGTGGAAGGTTTCATTTGCTTGTTGTTTCTTCTTAAAGTCTATTTTACTTTAAGTAAATTCTTTGAATGAAGAGATTATTACAAACACTGAACCTTTGCTTAATATTTGGGGCCCTTGGTTTTCTAATCTGAAAACAAACAACAAACAAACAAAAAACCATTGAAGTCCTTCGAAAGTTTCAACAGTAACATTGTTATATCTGATCTCAGACCAGCACAGCTGTCAGCTTGGAATAGATAGTACAATTGGGCCTGTGGACATTTGTGACAGCATATGTATAATGTAAGGAAAAGCAATAATTTTTTTTTCAAAGTTATTTTTTTCCTCACTTTAGATTATGACAAAATCCCAAGTCACAGTGTAAGCAACTTGCTCAATGAGGTTACTTGTCATCGAGTCAGACCCAACTCATAGCGACCGCTCTTTGGGTTTCCAAGGTGGTATCACTATGGAAGTAGATTGCCCAAGCTTTCAATTTATCTCTTAGTCATCCCAACGGACACAATATCGTGAGAATCAAGACAAGTCATTGCTGCCTTCCAAGGGCTCTAACAATAAGCCAAAAACCTTACTGCTAATCCTGCAACAGTCATTTGAAAGAAAAAGGAAAAATAACCTTAAGGAAGTGACTAAATCAGTAATGGAACCTAGAATCCTGCCTCACTTGTTTTGATCAAGTAGAATGTACTTCTAACCTTTCATTTAAAACTAAATAAAGAAACCAAAATCCCTACTGTGTGTGTCTAGGAATATAGTAAGGAAGTGGACAAGCACATTTGGGCTTTCTTAGACTTTTATGAGCAATTTGGATAAACAGATTTTTTATCTTTTTGTTACTTATTAATTATACTTTCCCATATTGATTTTACCTTCTAAATTATTAAAAATTGTTGACAGAAATTTTTGGGGGGAGTATATTACTAAATATTAAGTAATTTATATCATCTGTATTGCAGTGATTTAGATATGGCGTATATTATTTTTTTATCCATGACTCATCCTTTATAAATAAGCAAGTACCTATTAAGATTTTTCATTTCTTGATTTACTGGAATTAATTGAAGAACATAAAGGAGAAAATAATCAAGTTCACATATCTGTTCCATAAAGAACCTACAAGGGTACAGTTTTCAATTATGAGGCACCAATAAGCAGTATTTGGGTCCTGGTGCAGTGGTTATGTTTGATGTTATGAAAAAATCCTGTAACTATGGGAACCTTAAAGAATGTAATCAAGTGTGACTTTATTGCCCCCTTGTGGTGACTTGTAAGAAAGACTGTTGTCTTTCAAAAATCTCGTGCTGCAATCATTTTTATTTTAGCTTAGTTGGCCTGTAGTATACATGTCTGGCTTGGTCCTAGATAAAGGTTGTTCAAGTATGTACTGTGTTCTTGACTAATTTACTTACTGGAATTTATATAAAAAGGTGTCTATTTTCAAAGGATATAAAACACACATACTTTTTCATTGTTAAGAACTCATTAATGACATATTGTATAAAGAACCAGAATTTTCTAGGTATAGATAGTGTCAAAATATGCTTTCCTTATTTTGTGTAACCTGATGTTTAAACCCAATAAAAATAACTAATTTCTCATTGGACCCTAGCCTAATCTAAGAGTAAACATAGTCAGTACTATTTAAACAAAATAAAGTACTTGCTACTTAATCAGTGTTGCCATATGACAAAGAGTGATGACTTTATACAGTTTTCTGGGTGGATCTGCCTGGCTTTCTGCAGGCATAGAGAGTGTTCACTGCCATATTTGGTCTACTGTTTTGAAAGGCTCCCCTCTCTGACTCCTTAGGTGCGTATTGTCAGTGGTATCTTACAAACTGCATCTGTTTATCTTTAAATTTCAAATGCACTGTGATCCAAATTCAGAATGGACTTTTAGTTGAAAACTGCAGCTGTGAGATAGCAGTTCTAAGGGTATGTAAAAGTTGACATGTGGAAGAGGTTACAGCAGGAATGGAAGAATGTGGACAGAAAGAGCTTGGGGCCATTATAATTACAGCTCAGGAAAGCCGACCAATTTCATTAAGGCACCAATGAAAGACAGATATACTACATTTAACAGCTTGAGTGTCATGCAATAATTTCCACCTAAAGCTGAAAAATGACTGTAGAAGATTGGGCCACAACTTTGCTCCCCTCGGAGCCTGAGAAGTAAGACAAGCTGCTTTGGGATCATATGGAGCTGATCTCTTAGGAAGGGCCATTTCTCCTAAAAGGGGGGCTACCAGGATCTCTTTCAGTGGGAGTGGAGACCATGTAAAGCTTTTGAAAAAAAGTCTTCTAGATACTTCCCATATGGCTGGCAACCTTCTCCAGGCTAAGAGGTCCAAAATGAATTCCTGGTTTGCATCTTGCTCCCTGTACCCACATTGTTCTGCTTGTCCTACATCCTTTTCTATCTTATTAAATGACAACTCTGTCCTTACATTTGCTCAGATTCAAACCTTGGAGTCATCTGTGACTCTTCCTTCCTGTTGTTGTTGTTATGTGCTGTCAAGTTGGACCTGACTCATAGTGACCCCTCCTTGGGTTTCCGAGGCAGTATCACTACAGAAGTAGATTGCCCCATCTTCCTTCTGAGGAGTGGCTGGTGGTTTGAACCACCAGCCTTCTGGTTAGCAGTCAAGTGCTTTAGCCACTATGCTACCAGAGCTCCCATGACTCTTCCTTACACACTTCATTTGTAGTCTTCCAACAAATTGTGATGATTCTGTGTTCAAAATACACTCATAATTGACCAGTTCTTGCCACTTTTACCATTAACACCTTGGCATAAGCCACCATCTTCTCTCTCCTAGAGTACTGTAATAACTTTCTTGCCTCTATCCTTGCTGTGGGATAAGGATTATGATAACATAGCATCTGGGCGATTATTTTAAACTTAAGGGAGAGTGTGTTGCACTTTTAATCAGAACTCTGCAGTGGCTCCTCATCTCTTACAGCACAAACAAAGGGACCGTGTAATAATCGCCTTGCTACCCCTCTGATCTTGTTTTACCACACAATCTCCCTCATCCGCTCTACCAGCCACACTACCTCCCTGCTATTCTGGAACACACCGAGATTATGTTACCTTGGCCCTTGCATCTGTAACACTCTTTGCACAGATATCCTATGGCTTACTCTACTTCTTTCAGGTTATGCTTACCTGTCATCTTCTCTATGAAATTTGCTCTGACCCTATATATATTAATTGATAGTCCTCTTTCCCTTTTCCCCAACCTTTCATCCTTTGGCACCATTTTTCTCCCTTTACCCATTTTATTTTCCTCCCTAGACTTTATCAACATCCAACGTATGTTTCCTTGCTTATAGACTTATTATCTGACCTCCCTAGAATGTACATCAGTACAATGAGGGCAGAGAATTGGTCTGTTTTGTTACTCCTATCTCCCCAGCATCTAGGGCAGATTATATATTCTTTAAAACAGTTATTCAATGAATGAGTGATGGTGGGTAGTAGATTGTAGATGGGAAGTTCCGGAGCCATTCTGCCTGGGGTCTGTTTCAGCTTCTGCTCTTTTTTTTTAATTGTTATTATTTTCCTGCCTCTGCTCTTAATGGTTGTATAATGAGGGAAAGTAGTCTCTTTGGACTTCAATTTCTTTACCTATAAAATGAGGATACTTATTGTACCCTATTCATAGAATTGTGGACAAGACAAAATGAATTAATAGATAGACAATAGTTAGTGTGTGGTAAGTTGAAATGTATTAGCTCTTGTTACTTAAGTGTCTTGCAGGCATATAGTAGATAGACCGTTCTCAGTACAGTCCTTGACACCCTGCATCAGAATCACTGGGGTTTGTAAAATGCAGTTTCTGGCTCCAACACAGAAATCTGAGGAGGGTTTTTTATCAAGCTGTGTAAGGGGGTTTTTGCACATTACAGTCTTACAACTATTGACAAGAGGGAGAAGTAATAGAAAATAGCTGGAGAATGTCAACTCTGAGCAAGAGGAAGGGTCAGGATGAGAGGACCCAACTTGTGTGTCTGTGTGTCCAGGGGTGATGGGTGGGACTGAGAAATTGGAGCTGAGAAGAAAACTGGCCCTCTGGATTCTAAAATGAATCCTGTTCTGCGGAGAAAGTCAGTAGTCATGTCTAATTATTTTCCTGTCTTTGGCAGTGGGATGTTCTATGATGGGAACCACACATATCTCATTGAGCCAGAAGAAAATGACATGTCTCAAGTAAGTGCCCCTTCTAGTTGCTGTGACAGAGGCTGGGGAGGACAAATGTTGATACTGAGAGCTCCCCCCACACACACCTGTTTCCTCTCGACATTACTCCATATTCATATTTCTTGGGGTCTGCACAGTAAATATGTGTCTTTTAATAAAATATTCATAAGTCAAAACCCTAAGAGGTTTTTTTCTTTCCTCGTCTTATACTACTCTCTTGATCTTGGAAATTCGTTCCAAGCCAAAGCCTCTATAATACGCTGTGATAAAATCTACAGATAAGTGGCTTTCCCTGCCTCTTTTCCCTAGATTCCAGATTTATGTCTTGCCCATCACCTATAAGGCCATGTACTGATGAAGTTTAGAGAAATCTTGTTCTTAATTCTCTCTCTCTCTCACTTTAGTTGAAACATTAATTTTGTGTAAATTAGAAAATTTGAGTTATTATTAATTAATTTGAGTTAATATTATAAACTACAGATAAATATAAGGTATTTCTATTCTGGCTCTGTGTGCACAAATGTTGTTGTTGTTATGTGCCCTCAAGTCAGACCCAACTCATAGCGACCCCTCCTTGGGTTTCCGAGGCAGTATCACTACAGAAGTAGATTGCCCCATCTTCCTTCTGAGGAGTGGCTGGTGGGTTTGAACCGCCAGCCTTCTGGTTAGCAGTCAAGTGCTTTAGGCACTAAGCTACCAGAGCTCCTTGTGCACAAATAGTCTTCCTCATATCACACAACATTGGTCAAATTCATACACAAGCAAATAACTCTAAGAAATGTACATTGTTTTGCTGCCCATAAGCAATCAAGTTTGAGAAAACTGTCCAAATGTTATTTTCTGGGTACTCACTTCTGGCTATCCTGTCCTGTCACTTAGTGTGGCAATGGAAGATTTTAAGGCAGTGAGAGACTTCCCCATTTATGATATTCTAAAAAAAAATTAGTAATTGAAGAGGTCCAAATGAAATTATTTGCATATTCACTAATTTTTATTAGAGTAAAAAGGTGGCTTTTTATCTTTTGGTTTTTCACAGAGTTTTGCATAACACTTGAAATTAGGAACAGGGTCCACTTTAGACGTGCATTTGTACCCATCATCTTGCTTCCCAGTACTGGAAAGGTGGTTAGCCCTACGGTCTTTGCCTAGCAGAGCCATTTGGCTCTTAAAAGGAATAGGAATGAGTGGAAAAGTACCAGTCTTAAAAACATTAACCCATTTACCCTGATGCCTCTCTTCTCCTTGGGGGAATTGGTCCATTCATTTATTTTCCATTACTGCAAGCTTTGGCTTCTCTGTCCATGAAGGCATTTTGCTTCTAATTGAGTATCCCTCTGGTGTTGGAAAGAATACAGGAGTGAGTGGGAGGGGTTGTACAATGACTCCTCTCCTCTCCAAATCCAGGAGTATGCACAGTTACTTAACATCCAGGAGAATGCACAGTCAAATTACAGTTCCTTAAAGGGTCTCAGCTTCTTAGCCTGAGGCCGTGAGATGTCTGGTTGTACACACTTAATCTCTGTTGCTTGTGTCATTTCAGGAAGATTTCCGATTTCATTCAGTTTACAAATCCAGATTGTTTGAATTTCCTTTGGATGATCTTCCATCTGGTATGATATTCATAAAGTGACTTTCTTTTTTTAAAGGTACAACTTTAATAGTTCATTGTAATGTTTTACAAGTAATCTGTATGTGGGCTTGTCATTAGCTCATAACTTCTCATGGGTTTTTTTAAAAAATTTTTAATTTATTTTCCATTTTTGCAGTGTTCCCTCCCCTCCCTTCTCTCATGGGCTTTTTAGAGGGAAAGTCAAGTCACAGCACGGTAGGGAATAAAATGTAAGCTGACCTGATGTTTATAGTGGATGAGTTTAGAAAGATGTGGCTTGAATGCTATGAAAGAAAAAATTAAGATGTGAGTCTCAAATTAACAACACTATTGTTGTTGGCTGTTTTCGAGTTGGCCCTGACTCATGGTGACTCCACACACAATGAGAGCAGACCATTGCGATCCATGGGGTTTTCATTGGTTAACTTTCAGAAGTAGATCACCAGGCCTTTTTTCCTAGTCTGGCTTAGTCTGGAAGCCCCATTGAAACCTCTTGAGTAACATGCAAACTTCACTGACAGACAAGTGGAGACTTTGTTTGAGGGCTACTGGCTGGAAGTTGAACCCTGGCCTCCCACATGGAAGAATTCTACCATTGAAGCACCACTGCCCTCCAAAGGAAGTACTAAACGTGAAATAGTATTCGAGCTATTTCTTGGTGAAATACTGGCTCTGGAAATAAAGGAATGAACATATAAATCTCAGTTGTTGCAAATGCCCTTTGAGATCAGTATTTTTATTCCCATAGTACAGATGAAGAAACAGGCTCAGCAAGCTGCCTTGTTCAGTGTCCAACAGCTGATAAGGAACAGAGTGGGAGTTTGGGTGATGATACCAAGAGACTGTACTCTGGGAAAGACAAACAAGGAAGAAGGAAAAGTCACCACATAATTGGAGCAAGTCTGAAAGCATGTCATTCATAAACTACTGCTTAAGAAAATCACTTGAAAGTTACCTTTCCTCCCCATTAGAAAATGAAATAAATGTCCTCTAATGCCCCTTCCTCTCTGAAATAAGTTACTGACTCCTGGATACTACAATTCCCCTACAGAGAAATAGTACTCTCCTTGCTTCTCTCCTGTGATCAAAGGGATAGAAAATCCTATTACAGAAGTCATTATCTTAAAGCATCAGGAAATGAGCACATAGATGCTCTTACATTACACAGATGACAAGACAGTCTCGCCAGTTACCTTATGAAATGTTCCAAATCCCTATTATGGGAAGAAAATAATCATGGCTAGGTGCCTGAGAATTAAGCTACAAGTTAATAGGTCTTACTGGAAGCAATAAGAATCAATTAAGATTTAAAGAAATAAAGATTCCTCTTGGAGATTTGATTGTAGGTTCCTATGGTACAACTTTATTTTTATTTAGGACTCCTGTTCCACAGGGACTTTGGAAGTGTTGGCAGTTCTGCTGCTATTAATAATAGTTTTTGAAGGCATTCTTAGTTTGGAAAGTCAGCTCTGCCTCAGTTTCTAGTCTTCTTTTCTCCTCAGAAGTTGGCACCTTTGGACTGTTAATTGTAAGAGTGACGTTTGTCTCCCAAGATACTTAAGTTCACTATAAATGAGAAGAAAAACAGAAATAGAAAAATAAATTGCAAATTTTTTTGTAAGGAACTCAAAAATTTGCTTACTTAGTTTCATAAAGTTGAACTGGATTCTCTGTCAGAGCTTATCGGAGCTCTTATCTTTCTATTCATTGTATATCTTCTAGAGATGGGCATATAGTTGTCATACAGTGGTTCTCCAAGCTTAACTTCACTGTAAAACTTTTCTTTTTCTTTTTTTATAATATGCACATCTCTTAGGACTGACTGGTGCTCATAAAAACACATTTTGGATTGTTGGTTTCCTATTACCTCTTCCTTGCCACCCAATTTAAAAAAATGTTACATGCCATGACATGACCAAATCTTAAGTGTACTATTTGATGAGTATCTATAGGATCTATAGGAGCTCTGGTAGCATAGTGCCTAAAGCACTTGGCTGCTAACCAGAAGGCTGGTGGTTCAAATCCACCAGCCACTGCTTGGAAGGAAGGTTGGGCAATCTACTTCCGTAGGGATACTCCCTCGGCAACCCAAGGAGGGATCGCTATGAGTTGGGTCCGACTCGACGGCACATAACAACAACAATAGGATCCATAATAATTTTTTTTTCCTTATTGGTCAAGTTAGTTATTTATCAATCATACTGACACTTTCAAAGACCAATTTTAAGTTTCACTTTCTTATGTGTAGTTTGGGTTTAATCTATTATTATTTTTCTAGCTCCTCAAGGTGGCTGGAAACTTAGGTCACTAATTTTAAACTTTCTTTTCTCATACAAGTAAGCACTTGTAGGTGTTCTGGTGGCACTGTGGTTAAGGCATTGGGCTACTAACCAATTGGCAGTTTGGAGGCACCTCTTAACCCAGGCAGCTGCTGGCTGCTGAGGTGACAAACCCAAGGTCGGCAGTTTGAACCCACCAGCTACTCTGCAGGAGAAAGAGGAGGAAATCTACTTCCATAAAGATTTACAGCCTTGGAAACCCATGGGGGTTGTTATGGGTTGGAATCGACTCCACGGCAGTTGGTTTGGTTTATTGGGAATAAGCTGTGCATTCCCCTTTAAACACTACTAGTTTACCAGTACCTCTTACATTTTGACATGTTTTCATTATCACGAGGTCAGAATTTCTAATTTGCCTTGTGATTTATTCTTTGTGCCATGGGTTATCTAGAACTGTGTAGCTCGGTATCCAAACGTTTGCATTGTTTTAATCTTGACATCTTTTTGTTACCAATTTTTAATTTAATTGAACTGTGATAAGAGGAAATGTTGTTGTTGTGTGTCACATAGAGACTCTACATGACAGAGTTGAACTACCTCATAGGGTTTCCCAGAGCAGATCGCAAGGTCTTTATTTCCAGCAGAGCTGCTGGCAGGTTCTATCTGCCGACCTTTCAGTTTGCAACTGAACACTTAACATTTCTGTATCATTTCAAGCCATTTAAATTTATTAGGACTTACATATAGCCTATGTATGGCTTTGCATATGGTTTGTCTTGGTGAATATTGCACGTATCTTTGAAAAGGATGTATATTCTGCATTTGTGGAGTGAAGTGTTTGAAAATGACAACTTAGTCTAATTGGGTAATAATATTTTTAAGTCTTCTGTGCCCTTATGATATTCTTTTTTTTTGCTTAATTTCTGAGGAAGGTTTTAGTGGTTAAGGTTATGTGTCAACTTGGCTGGGCCTGGTTTTGAGTGGCTGGGTGGCTGGATGTAGTTATTCCCCCTGATGAGACTGGTAATCAACTCCATGGGGGAATCTACTGGATTCCAGCATGGCTGAGTGCTCCAGCAGGCCAGGGATGTGGCCTCCTTCCTGCATATAAGGAGAATCTTTGAGAAAGGTCTTCGAGCTTTTTGGCACACTTGGGCCCTGCATGCAGCTGAGTCTTCATTGAACTACCTGCCATGTTGTCTGCTGATCTGGGGACTGTTTCTGGACTTGAACTAGTGGCCTGCCATGTTGTTTGGTAATGTTGAGATTGCGCCATTTTATTTGCCGACCTTGGGTTTGTCACCTCAGCAGCCAGCAGCTGCCTGAGTTAAGAGGTGCCTCCAGCTTCAGTGCGCCAGGAACAAGAGTCAGAGCTAAAACCCAAGGTTGAGGGCCTTTCAGCCAGCTACTAGAGCTAGCACTTTGAATTCTGACTTCTAGCATCCTAAACTGTAAGAGAATACATTCCTGTTTATGAAAGCCAACCGTTAGTGGTATTTTCTGTTAAAGCAGCACTGGAGGTCCAAAACAGAGGGGTATTGAAATCTCCAGCTTTAACTTTGAATTTGCTTATTTTTGTCTTCATTTCTGTCAGTTGTTACTTTATATGTTTTGAGACTTTTTGATAAAGTATGTAAACATTTGGGATTGTTGCCTATTTTTGATGAATTGATTCTTTTATCATTATGAAATAGTCCTCTTTTTCCCTGGTCATATTTATGGCCCTAAAGTTTACATTGTTGTTGTTGTTGTTATGTGCTGTCGAGTTAGATCCAACTCATAGTGACCCTTCCTTGGGTTTCTGAGGTGGTGTCACTATGGAAGTAGATTGCCCAACTTTCCTTCCGAGGAGTGGCTGATGGGTTTAAACCGCCAATCTTCTGGTTAGCAGTCAAAAGCCTTAGGCACTACGCTACCAGAGCTCCTAAGTTTATGTAGTTTGATGTTAATATTTCCAGCCCAGCTTTCGTAAGATTGATGTTTGTTACATATTTTTTTTCCCATTCTTTACACTTAAAGTGGCCCTGTTATAAATAGCAGGTAGTTAGGCCTTACATAAAAATAAATAAAATTCTAGTCCAGCGATCTCTGCCATTTGGTTGTAATTGATTTCCATTTAATTTAGTTTAATGTAATTGTTGATGGGATTGAGTTTAATTCTGTCTTCTTTTCCTTTCTGTGTGTTTTATCAATTGATTATAAAAGAGAACTTATTCCGCTCCTCAGCACATCACTTACATTTCTCAAAAGCAACATGATGAGTGCATGTTTGAATATGGAACTATAAATAACCACAGTTAACTTCCTTGGCCAGGTTTGGTATTCAACATCTTTATCACAGAGTTTTCTGACCATGCTTATCTTTCCCTTTTGGTGGTGCTAAGACATGTTCACTCTTAAAAATTATAAATAAATTTCAGAAATTAAATTAATTACTGCTTACCAATGTAGTTAAAGTTATGGAAAAGAAAACTGGACAAAGATAGTTAAGTGAATATTGGCAATACCTTTGAATAGGTAAAAGGATTTTTTTTTTTTGGTCATAATTCTATTGAAATTACATACATTGGTATAGGATAATTATTTTTCTATGAGTATAATAATGTACGTGTATGGAAAGTAGACATATTTTCATCACATTTTGGGACAGTGGTGTGATTTTTAGGTAACTTTTGAGTTTATATAAACAGTATCTGACAGTAATGATAAGAGCTCCTTTTAGAATTATACAGCATTATTCCCATTAGAAGCCTCACATCTGACTCCTTTATTTTGTTCAGTCACCCATCAAAACTTCAGGAAATTTGTGCCACAGGGAGCGGTTACAATTTTTTTCAAAACTCTATAGGAAAAGCTGTCCCTATAAATATCTCTCTATATGAACAGCTGATACGTAACTCTGATTTACAAGTTAGAGGGGACCCACAGTCCCAAGACCAGACAAAGCTTGAGATAAATATCATTCTGAGCAAAGAAGAATGTCAAATAATTGAAAAAAAAATCACTAAAAACTTTAGTGTCCTGTTAAAAGTTTTAATTAATCATTATTTGATAAGCATGTGATTATTTATTCTACTTGTTTCTCATTGCGTTTCTTCCTTTTATTTCTTTATTGTGCTGCTTCTAGAAGGTCATCAGTGGAAGTGAAGGTCAAATTGGCTGTTTAGGAGATTTCTGACAAAGAATGTGGTAGTATTAAGAGACCTATGGGAAGCATTTTGAGACCAATAGGACAGGAATGATGTTTGATAGTTTTGTGAACTGTATTTATATACAATATACATATTTAGTATTAATTTTAACATAATTATTTAGATTAATGTTTTGTTATTATTAAGTACAACATTTACATATTGTAACTTTTATAAGAAGGAAGGAGGCTAGTAAAAATTTGATTGCCTCATGCTAAAAATGATTGGCAAATGCACTGAATCAAATTAAATTTATTTTTATTTCCTTTTAGAATTTCAACAAGTAAACATCACTTCACCAAAATTTATTTTGAACCCAAAACCAAGAAGGAGTAGAAGGCAGGTATGTGCCCCCAGGTCATGTTATGATATTTTGGAACACTTGGCAGCTGCTGACCATTGGAATCTACATTAGGTCTCTCTGAGAGGGTTACTCCTCGTTCAGCATTTGTCAGGGTGTGGTAAACAATAGGGGTGTCAGATTCGTACAAGCAGTGAATGTGAGGACATATTATCTCACAGACTCAGAAAGGACCCACAATAATGGTGATAATGTGTTTTGTCACATACATGGACAATGGGCCTGGCTCGTGGCATCTCAAGTTCTTTCTACCATAGGCCTCCTAACTTGACGGGGTATGTGATATATCATAGAGTGTATTTGTATGGTACTTAATCTTGTGTTTATTCTATTTTATATACCATCCTTAATTGTGAGTGAGTCCATAATGTTTTGAAGCCACAAAATGCTCCCGTCTCACTTTGGGCTATTTTGGAGTCCAGGATTTAAGATCAGCCTATAAGCTTTATGAATGTTCAGTGGATCTTGGACTTAGCAATAATAATTAATAATTGTTTACATAATGCCTTAAACCATATGAAGTGTTGTTGTTGTTGTTACTTGCCATCGAGTCGGACCCGACTCATAGCGACCCCTCCTTGGGTTTCCGAGGCAGTATCACTATGGAAGTAGATTGCCCAACCTTCCTTCCAAGGAGTGTCTGGTGGATAGGTAATAATATTCCCCCTTCAGAAAAAGAAACATGATGGCTCTGAAATGTGAAAATGACCTGCCCAGAATAGTACAACGGATAAATGCATTAGACAGAACAAGAGCCCTGGTTATTAGAATCCAGACATCACCATAGTAGTGATGGTTGGTGTGTGTGTGCATGTGTGTGTGTGTGTGTGTGTTTGCATGCCAGGGAAAAACAAAGAAACAAACAAAAAACGGATTAGGGAGTTAGATCCCTGGTAACATCATGCAGTTGAAGGAACCAGGTAATATCTTTTTATTACTTTGAAATAAAATATGTTTATAGACAGATTTCTAATGTGAATAATAATTGGTAAATTTTATTACGTCCTTACTTAATACTTGGCCCTGTGTTAAGAATTTTCACTGTATTAACACATTTAATTCTCATAACAACTTTATGAGGAAGGTATTATTATTATCCCCATTATACCGATAAGGAAATTGAAGATTAAGAAAGGTAAGAAACTTGCCAAGGATTACATAGGTTTACTTCCTGGTGGAGCTGGGATTTTGACCTAGGAAGTCTCGCCCCAGAATGGTGCTTCTGTTCTATATACTGCCTCTCAGAAGCTCATCTGTTCCATGAATTGCTACCATGGGGTTTATATACTTTGTGAATATCTGTTTACATGTAAGAATGGAATAGACACACATGTATCATGAGGCCTTGATTCAAGTTAAATAGATTTTTTAAAAAAAAAACATTAGGATTCAATTTGAAATGGTATTTATTTTCATAAATTCTGAACTGAGATAATAGGATAAGTTCTTATTTTGACACATGCCTTGAAGTTCTTCATAAACACTGGCAACATTTAGTCATTTCCTAAGCAAACCTTTGATTTCTCTTTCTGAGAAAGCTATGGTTCTGTGGAGGTGAGGTCCTATAAAACTGTGTGGCTAATATGGCAGCTCTGTGACATTAATGTTGAGACTTGTTGGAAAGTCTACTTTATTAACTAGTAACTTTCAGATCCCTCCTATAATTATCAAAGCCTATCAGTATAAAAACACCCATTTACACACACGAAAGATTTTGTCATTGGATACAGTTTAGTGCTACTGTAAATTCTCCTCAGCATTATAATCCCCTTATTCTCTATCATTTAAGAGAGGTTTTTTTTTTAAATAAAAGAAATTTTTAAGTTTAAAAGTGCAGTTAGTAATGAGGCAAATCCACGAGAAGCAGTTTTTTCGTTTGTTTGAATCCAGTGTATTCAACATAAACATTCAGATACCGCTTTAAGTCTGATTGTATACCCTCGTCACAAAAATGGCCCTATGGCAAGGAAACAAAAAGATACGCTGAAATAAGTGTATATTGAAGTGTAACATAAAAAGGAAAGTATGGTTTTGTACACCATGTTAAAGACTATGGTACAGACTAGTTGCAGAGAACAAAGATATGGCTACCATAGTAGCTCTTGATTTAGTGGTCATGATTTTGAAGATGGGGAAAACTTGTTGAACAGACAAATGTAACTGTGACAGAGGCTGCCTGGGAACTCTTAAACTGTCCTTGCAAAGCCCTTGTATTCTTTGAGGGGAATTCCCAGGACCAAACCAGAGGAAAGGGAAGGTTCTATTGCTAAATTTGGAGATTACAGAGTAAAAGTGCCAGTGAGTCCACTCCCCGTGTCCTCTCAGAGATCTTCAGAAGCTTAAATTAGACTGAAAGAACACTCTTCATGTGTTACTATCTCCAAGACACATTGTTAAATGAAAATGCTATGATTCAGAAGGCAGTGAAATAAATAGAAGTATAAAGCAAAATATATGTTCATATTTGATTTCATATGCATAAATACTTATGGACGAAATCAGTAACTGTGTGTACCCATTGTGGGGAAAGGGTAGAAACCAGGTAGATTGGGAACGGGAAGGAGAGCAAGACTTTCATCCTCTTTTTATGATTTTTTTATTTTTGAACCATGTACACATATTACATATTCAAAAGTTAAGTAAATTGATGAAGATGTTAAAGCAAATAATAAAGAAAAGAAGGAAGTTTTGTTTATTTGCCCAAGGTGTTTTACCTCTCACTGCCAAGTTTAGAAGGCTTATTTATTTCCTTTATTGCAGCTTCGCCGACATCCACGTAATGTAGAGGAAGAAACAAAATATATTGAACTGATGATTGTGAATGATCATCTCATGGTAGGATTTGATAACTTTTTTTTTTTAATTTGAATTTTTCCTTGCAATAGGGTGGAATTATGGTTTCAGAAATATGTTGAAAGAAGCAAAGAACCCACCAAGTTATAACCTTGAGAGGTATTTGTGTAACCAAACATTTGTTATCTGCAAGTAGGAAACACTTTTGAGTGGAAGTAACTAGCAATAATTTGTGAGATTCAGAAATATTTCTGTGACTCATTGTATCAAATTTTTGGATTTGTTTGATTCATATAGGTGCTAATATTTGAATCTTATTAAACGGAAACCCAGTGGGGGTTGCTATGGGTCAGAATTGACTTTGTGACAGTGGGTGGTTTATTTTCAAAGTGACAAGGGTTAAAACAATAGAAATGTCCATTTTCTATGGAAAAAATAAGTGGAGAAGTGATAATATGATGTTATAGTTTGCAGTATATAGTTTTATCTTAATAAAAGAAAAGCAGACAGTTTTTGTTTCTGTCTTGCCTCACTGAAACCATATGGAAATGTTCTCATAGCCAAACGATGAAGATTCTTAGGGTAAGAACTTGCCCACACTCCCTTCTTATTGAGTCAATTACTTTGACCCAGAGTGTCTACACTCAGTTCATGGGCATCTTGTGGTCAGTGTGATTATATTCACAGCAAAGCAGTGAGTGTAATTGTCTCATGTAAGTAGAGTTTTAATTAAACCTTTTATTTGGTGCATGTTACTAAATTTTACTTAATTTCAGGTATAAATGTGTCATTTATTTATTATGTACAATTAAAGTAAAAGTGATATTTTAATGATTATTATTACTCCTAATATTATTGTTAGGAATATTAGTAATAATAATACAATCAGGATTGAGTATGCTTCCTATAAAAATAATTTTTTGTTCAGGCTCAGACTAAGTTGTATCTTTCTACCTATTTGAATCCAGTAAATGCTACTGTTCCCTGGGATTTTACAAAATGCATAAGTTAAAGGAACATATACTTTGGATAGTCATAAATACAAATGTTTACAAAGCCCAGTTAGATAACAGAGGTAAAGTGATCCAGATGTGAAACAATGGGGAGAGGTGAGCCCTGTGAAAAAAAGGAAGGCCCATGGCTTGTCTACAGGGAACTAATTTTAAATGAAGCCAGAAATCAGATTTTACATGACAGTTCCAGGTTTTTTACATACCATTGAGGCCAAAGAAAAGATATATGTGAAACCACCTTTTATGACCCTTATCTTAGCACTTTCTTCTTCGTGATGAATAAATCTTATAAAACTTGTAAATTTTTGTATCTTAGGAGTTTTTGCAATCAGCTTTTTTTCTGGCCATACCCCTGCTTATATTTGTATGCTTTATGATTAAAAGGCAATTTTCATATATTTTATAATTTGGAGTAACAATCCTGATAAAAATAAACCTGTTAAATAAAAGGGTTGAAGTGAGTACTTTTTACATTTTACTTCATCCCAGAGATGAGTAATTTTTGGTAAGTGTGTAGGAACCTTGCCTCAGGCTAATAGCATATAAAGAACTAGGTCTTAAATCATATACCTTTACAGAAACTCTTAGGGATCATTCAATTAAACCATGATTTCTCTGCTAAGATGATTATTTCCTGATGACTTTGAAAGCCCTTCATTTCTTTCCTTTTCCTTTCAGTTTAAAAAACATCGGCTTTCAGTTGTACATACCAATACATATGCGAAATCTGTGGTCAACATGGCAGATTTAGTAAGTATCAACTCAATTCAATGTCACCCTAGAGAAGTTTTATGCTTAGTCCTACAGATGACATGGATCTTAGATGTTCACTACTCTGATTGTACTTTAGCCAACGTGTCTTCAAGAGCTTGGTAACCTTCCAATGGCTTTATTGACTTTGATCTCTGACTAGGAAGGTGATAAAAAGAAATGGTCAAAGTTACCCACAGATTTTTGCCTGAAATTTATTCCTGTATTTATCACACTGGAGAAGATAAAAGTTGAACCATAGCCTCTAATTAAGATATTCAGTGTTCATCTAACAATGCAAAGTGGTACAATAGTTATGTCCTTTTTGAAAGAGGACCCAGTGTTGTGCAATGATGCCTCTGAGTAATTCTACTGTACACATTTCTTCCCTTAACAATGCAGTGCCAGAGTTTTAATCAGGGCCAGTCAGAAGGTAGAAAGTATTTCCTTGAAGAGTCTTCATTGTTCCGCTCTCTGTTACAAGAACTCAAGAACGCATGAATTATTTGTCTTGGGTGCCAGGAAATGGACTCAGTGGGAACCTTGGATAAAAATGCAAAAAATAATCTTTTTTTGTTGTAACTAGTACAGTTCTTTGGGTATTTCTTGGTGAAAAATTTGATTCTTTGTTACTTGATAGAAATGCATATAAATTAGAAAAAAGAAAAATCTCACTTAAAAGCAGTAAAGTGTCTTACCTTAAATTAAAACTCAACCAGTTTCCATTTAAAAAAAAAGGAACTTCTCTAGTCCTGTTCACAAATTATTTGATTTTACCACATATACAGCTGGTGTATTCATTTTGTTAATATACTAGATATATAAAGACCAACTTAAGACCAGGATAGTATTGGTTGCCATGGAAACCTGGGCAGCTGACAACAAGTTCGCCATATCTGAGAATCCATTGATCACTCTACGTGAGTTTATGAAATACAGGAGGGATTTTATCAAAGAGAAAAGTGATGCAGTTCACCTTTTTTCGTACGTAACTTTTTGTAATAATTTATTACTTTTTTGATTCCATGTTGAATGTTCTATTGCTTGTGACTGAGATGTGTCCTTTCTACTGCATAATTTGTCATGGCAAATACATTTGGAAGAGATTGTAAACAATAGATGATTTGAAATTGCCATGGAAACATAAGAGATTTGATTTTGAGTTGTTTTAGTGTTGCATGTTCATTTCGTTTAATTTTTCAAGAGATTTAATTAGAGCATTTACTAAGTAAAAGTACAACTATTACTTACATAGAGTATTCTGAACAATACATTAATTGTATTCTTTAAAGTTGCTGTCTTTCAAATGCTTAGTTTTTGGTTCTAAGGTAAGAGCTTAGTATTTCTGGAGTTTATTTTTTTCTCTTTTATGTTATGTTTAATACTTAATGTTTATTAGATAGAATAGCAAATTCTATCTAGTAGCAATTTAAAAATGCTTTATCTAATGTCAGAGATGTTGGAAGAGGGTTCTTAATGGAAGTAAAAGAGTGTATTTTTTGGTTACTTTTCATTTTTCTATAATGTCAAATATTGTAGGAAATTGACAAGAATGCTACAAGTAAATACAATATGCTCTTTACCCAGATTCATCAGCTGGTTATATTTTACCCCATTTGTTTGACAATTTCCTTCTTCTTTCCATCCACCCACCCTCTTACCCTCCTACCCTCCCATCCATCCATCCATCCATCCATCCAGCTACTTTTTCTCCTGATCCGTTTGAGTAAGTGGGGGACACCGTGGGCCTTTACCACTAAACCCTTCAGTTTGTATTTCCTAAGAATAAGGATACTCTCTTATATAACCACAGTAAAATTATGTAAACCATAAAATTAAACATTCACACTAAACTTTTTCTAATCCATAGTCCATCTTCAAATGGCGCCAGTTGTCTAAATATTTTGTAGTGTTTTTTTTCCCCCTCAACTGGGATCTAATCCAGATCACACATTATATTTAATTGTCATGGCTCTTTAGTTTCCTTTCATCTGAAAGGTTCCTCAGCTCTTTTTTGTCTATTCTGAGCTTAACATTTGTGAAGAGTAAAGGCCAGTTATTTTGTAGGATGTTCCTCATTGTGATGTGTGATATTTTCTCATTGTGAGATTCAAGTTACACTTCTTTGTGAGAAATCCCACAGGTGTGATACCATGTCTTTCTCAGAGTGTATCATGTCAGTTATTCTTTTGTAATTGGTATACTTCTGTTCAAGATATTTATTGTTCATATGGGGAAACATCTCCTCATGAATCTTTTCCTTTACATATGTGTATAAACAATTTTTACATTCCTTCTTAACTCAAGAATACATGGTATATATAAAATTGCTTAAAAAAGAATATGTAGTATAGAAATGTTGATGTGCATTGAAAAAAGTAAATGTAATAAATTAATCATGAGAGGTGCTATGATTTTTAAACTGTGAACAGTAAGCATTTTTCATTTCCTTTTCTAAAAGGGGAAGTCAATTTGAGAGTAGCCGGAGCGGGGCAGCTTATATTGGTGGGATTTGCTCATTGCTGAAAGGAGGAGGCGTGAATGAAGTAGGTGTGAACATCTGTACGATACAAAGTGGTATGATGGCTGAAAACACTTTCCTATATTTAAGAAATCATTTCTCAGTATTCCATATACTCCAGATATTAGACTGTTTTGCTAACAATCAGTATGGTTACTGTAAAGGACCATAGGGCAAAATAGGGAAACATTAGAAGATAATATCTGATAATTCTGTCCATTGCTCTATGTAGAATAATTTCTGTGAAAGACCTGTTACCAGCTTGTCTAGAGAGAGAGTCTTTACCTTTACTTTCAATGGAAATAAGACCCTGTTTATCACCTTTACTTATTCTTCTGAGAATTGAGCACTTTTCTGAAGCATTGGGTTACTACCTAACAATGCAATAAGAACATTTCTTCCTTTCTCAGTTTTTCTCAAATTTTTGGAGAAGAAAATATACTAGGTTTAGGGTTTTCCTCAAATCCCAAAGCAAAAATCTCTGTAGATAGTAAGTCTTATAGAAGTGATCTAAAGGAAAATAATTTGAATCTTTGGGAAGCTACCTATTGAAAAAAAAATCCTCAGCTACTATTTTCAAGTTTCTGTTGGCCAAAGATCATCACCAAATTTCTCTGTTACATCATGCCATTTGTTTCCTGAATCCACATGCTATTCCATTTGGGGAAATTTTAACAGTACAAGTAGATACACAAAGATGAACAAGCTCCAAATAATTCACACATTTGTTTTTATTTAGTGTTATCAATAGGACTCTGGCTTAATTATATGTAACTATTACATTTTTCTGGAATATCACAGGTGAAATTTGCATTTAGAATTAGATTTACATTTCCAAACCCCAAAGTGAATGGTTATATCCTTGGCTTTTACTCTTCCCTCTAAGATCTAACAAACTTACATTTATTTCTTACAGCATGTTTAACCTCTCCTAAGAAAATGCTTAGAAATTAATTATTTTTAATTATACTGTGACATTTTCTTTGGCCTAATTAAATTAAAAACAACAACAACAACACAACAACTTTTCTCTTACATATATTTTGTTTTTGTTTTTCAGTTTGGGAAAACTGATTTAATGGCAGTTACACTTGCCCAGTCCTTAGCCCATAATATTGGTATTATCTCAGACAAAAGAAAGTTAGCAAGTGGTAAGTTTTAGTACATACATGTATTGCTTAAAAAAAAACAAAACCAAACCCATTGTCATCGAGTTAATTCCAACACATGGTGGCACCCATTGGGTTTCCAAGGCAGTAAATCTTGACAGAAGTAGATTGTCCAGTCCTACTTCTGTAGAGTGACTGGTGGCTTTGAACCACCAAACTTCTGGTTAGCAGTCAGATGCCTTAGGCATTGTGCTATCAGAGCTCCTTATGTATGGCTTAGTTGTGTGTAAAATAGAAGTGGATGTTTTAATTCAGTTGATTGATCAAAAGAGTTTGATTGATAGTAAAAGATGTACAGACAGAGCAGACCCAGGACTTGAACCAGCTATTTCTGATTCTCAAGCTATCTGCTTAACAACTATACTATATTGCCTTCTAGCAGTAACCTTGGTGCAGAAGCTTTTAAAAATGGACCAGAAATTGTAATATTTCCCATAAGAGGTTATGAAGCTGGTATCCTATTGGGGTTCCATATAGTCTTTCAGTATTTCACTGATATTATATTGTATTTCATTTAAGCTATTTTAAGTGAATACTTTAAAAATATGGCCACTTTTTAGAATATCAAAAGAACTTATTTCAGTAAAAATAATATAATCTTGATAGAGTCAAAGTATATTTTAGTCGTTTTGTAGTACATAAAAATCTACAATTGTAAGGAAAATGAGAAAGCAGGTATTACGCTTAATAAGATATTTAAGGAGCACTGTGAAGATGTTTTTTAAATAGGAGATAATGTATCTGTTTACAATTTGTTTAAAAAGGCATATGTGTTCCATTTCTTTTAGGTGAGTGTAAATGTGAGGATACATGGTCTGGATGCATAATGGGAGATACTGGGTGAGCTATTTCTGTTTGAAAATAAATCACTATTCCTTTCCTTGCCACACTATTGTCTTCCTAGGAATATGACACTTTAAGACTTAATACGTGCAACTTTACCACAGGCATTAGGGGAAAAGTAGATTATCTTAAAGGCCCTATATCTAAAATATCATTATGAAATAGTTCCCTATTTATATACATTTTAAAAATTGATAGTTAAGTAAGTACACCTAGTCCTCTTATCGACTATCTCATTTTCTGACATTCTATATCTATGACAATAGTTATAATGGTCTTTCGAACCTAACCATGTCGATAAGTGAGTGAGTGTAGACATCAAAGACTTTTTCAGCCTTGAACTTAGGTGAGTAATTTAAGAAATGAGGAACTACTTGTTCTTGATGGCTTACCTACTTAATTCCCCTTCCTTTTATCTCCTTCAGTTCTAACTACAAACAGCTTATAAACAGTATTATCCTGGTAAGTTGACTCAAAATGGACAATAATGATAAAATAAATAGTCTTGATTTGTAGGTTTCACAGATTTCCCTGGTGTAAATACTCCCACCATGGTTGATTTCAAGCTGCCAATGTAACCTCACTGAACAAGGAGTTGGGGAGAGATGCGCACCATCTGTTTTTCTAAGACAGGTTTTCATTTCTCTACTGTCCTACCCTTTATGACCTAGCAGGTGACCATCCTTGCCATTTATTTTTTCTAAATAAATTTTATAGCCATTTATTTCATGCCAAGCTTATCATAAAAGTGATAATGACTTTTATTATCTTGTGCTTTTATTATTTCAATAACATTGAAATGTTCAAGCTCTCCCCTCCTGAGCTCCACTTTCATCATCTTTAAAAAAGTATGAAGAATGAAATGGTGAATACTTATAAACCTGTCACCCAATTAAAAAAAAAAAAAGTTGTGTTTTTCTCCCTTATTAATCTTTAACCCCAGTCATGGTAACTATTATCTTGAATGTGGTTAATCTCATTCACATGTTCTTTTTATATCTTTAATGTATGTATCAAAGTAATACATAGTAAAGAAAGTAAACATGTTTTGCTTATTTTCAGTTTATATGAAAGGGATAATATGTGTACTCTTTTGATTTGCTTTTGTCAATCAACGTTATGCTCGTGAGATTCATTCATGCTGGAATATATAGCTCTAGTTCTCTGGTAGCATAGTGGCTAAGACACTTGCCTGCTAACCAGACGGCTGGCGGTTCAAACCCACCAGCCACTCCTCGGAAGGAAGGTTGGGCAA